CTGCATTTGTCGATGGACAAAAATGGACAAATCTTGAATTTTTTTTTCCTTATTGTTATCAGTCCTCTGATACGTGTAACTGTCTGATAAAGACAACCTGCAGCTTTGTTCCTAAAGTACTGCAGGAAATGTGGTTTAAAAGGAGGATTTAGCTATGGCTGAGAACAACACAAGCAACACACCTTATAATTTTCTTTATTTCAGATTTTGTCAGTAAAATGTGTTCTTCTGTGTTAGTGTTCTAATGCAGATCCAAGGTATTTTGGAGTAATCTGGGTAACACCACAGAAATCTGCATATTCTTTCCATTCCGTCCTGTTGTTTAATCAGGTGGAAACATTGGCTTAAAATGGCAATTATATATCATTGTTGTGAGTTCACTTAAGAGCAGGTTTTGTTTGCTACATCTGCGTAAGTATTCTGTAATTAGAGTGATTCAGTCATGTTGGGGTTTTGGGGGGAAAAAGGGTAATGTACAACCCAGGCCAGACATGTAACTTCTTCAGCATCTGTCACTTCTTTAAGTAAATCTGAAAATGTGCTTGTTCTAGAAGAATCTTTTCACTTACGGTATTCTTGGGGAAAAAAGTGATAATATTCTAGGCTGAAGACCTCTCTTTTTCCCCATTACCAGTAGTTTTGGTTTTTTTCGCTACCTTTTGTCTGAAAAGGACCTTTCTGTAGTTCTTCCCAGAGTGAAATGATAGGTGAGTGTTGACCAGAACAAGCTGTTGGCAAGAAGTGTTTTGTAGAGGATTTCTGTTGCAGCCACCACTATAATCACGAGGTGCATGATGTTACAGTACTCTAGTTTGATGCTTTCTGATTAATAATGTAGTTCTGTAAGCAGCAAAAGTACTGAAGTCAGATTTCCCTTGACAGGTGTTTTTTGAGTGGATTCTCTCCTGCCTAGTGTGGGAGATGGCTGTGCCTGAAGCCCTGTGCAGATGGGGCATGCACAGCACGGAGGAGAGAAACTAGGCTTTGGTTTCCTATATTTTTCAGGATGCAGAGTGTAATCAGAGGATCTCCTCCCAATTTCAGGGAAATAGTGTATATAAACTCTAATATAGTGTGGCATTGCACTGTAATATCCTTAACTTTCCTTCACAATGGCTGTACTCAGTTGGCTCAATTTATAAGTCAGGAGGTGATTTTCCAAGTGATCTTCACGCAAACTTCATGAGGCAGGGAGTTTGACTTCCAGGTCACTTCTTTCCAGCAGCAGAATCACTAATAAAAATTCTGTCATCAGTATGTAGTTGATAGTTTAATTGTTGATATATGCTGCAGAATATAGTCTACTTCATTTTCTCCCAAGATGGTGGTACCCAGACTTTCAGAGAACAGCAACACTGGATAAACTGGCACAGGAAAGATCCTGGCTGGTATGGGTTCAGGATGTGTGAATTTTCTTTCCCAGCACTGTAACAGACTGTCACTTTCTCATTTGTGTGTTAAAGATAGTTATGGTTAGCCAGTTTTTCAGAACATTTTGAAATCCACTGAGGAAATGTGCTATGTAAGAGCTAAGTATTTATTTTATGTGCTACATAGTCTTTTGTTCTAAGTAACAGTAATTTATTTTTTTTTCCCACAGGGTAGTGCTACAAATCCCCAAGGCATAAATGAGTACAAATCCCTTTCATTGTTTGTTATGTGCTTAGACATTTTTGAAAATTAAGTTCCGCTTAAAACAAGTCTAACATTAGAGAAAAGTTTGGAAAGACACTGCAGAAACCGAGCTAAATATATATATATATATATGCATATATATATATATGCACACTTTATGTATAATATTTAAAGAAAACATGCAGTCAGCTGATGAAAACTGCTTTCTGAGCTCCAGTTTTCATTTAATTGGGAATATAAACATATGAAAGTCAAGGATAGTAATTTGATTTCAGAAGAAAGCTACTCGAGACAAGCATCAGTCAGAGCTAACAGGAGCCATATGCTGAATGTTTTATGTAAGTGATGTAGTCTTCAAAAAAAAATAGAAAAAGCATCTTTGATTTTTTTTAAGCAGATCTTCCCTAAAGAAGTTATAGTAAACCTTCTGTTCAACAGGCTAAACAGTATTTGTGTGCATAATTGATGTTAATATATTACATTAAATGGTAGACACAAGATATTTTCTGATGATGTGTATCAAAGAAGCTTGTTCACTTAAGTATAACCACAGCGTGCTTGTAATTTCCCAGAGCTGCAGGATAGTTAAGATAAAACTTGGCAAATTAGAGCCTCCCTGAGTGAGGTGGTTTTGGCTTTCTATCACTAGGTCTGCTGAAAGTTACACAGATGTGTGCTGGCCTTTTGAAACCAAGAGCCAGTAATTATCTCCAGCAGATGATTATGGACAACAAGCTCTGGAGGTAATTCTGGCACAACAGAGGTGAAAGAGCTCCCTTGTCATCACGAAGAAGGTTGAAAAGCTCTCAGTGGAAAAGAATAAGGCTTAACTGGCAGTAGTACCTTACAAAACAGAAAGAAAGGCTCTCACATAAACCAGTATTTGTTGGCCATTTCTGTTGCATTTAAAGCCATTTAAATTATGATTTTATGAAGTATTATAGTAATCTTTATAGTTAATTAAGCGTTTGTTAAGCTCCCAAATATTTGCAAGCAGGACCCTGGCATACTAACTGTGGCATGCTTTGATAGGGATTGTGTTAACATTGAGGAACTGATAGTGAATGTTTTGTATTTACGAGTTGTATGAAGTATAGGGATATGCAAGGGATAGAAAGTGGCCTTCCTCTGCTCCCTCATCCTCGCACCTGCGTAGGCTGCAGGGTGAGTACGTGGCTGGGAGGAGGCACAGGCATACTCTTGCCACAGTGCTTTGGTTTAAGAAATTGCCAGGTCACTGATGATCCAGATAAAACAATTCAGGAAGTTACTGCCCAGCGAAGCTGATAAGGTTAAACCTTAACTGAGGACAATGTATGCCAATCTGTTTGTCACGGCACTGAACTTAGTAGTGCTCAGAAGGATGCCCATGACACAGTCTCTGTGTGAAAGACAGTAATTTCTTAAATTGCTTAGCTAAATCTGCATAATTCTTACCATAATTCTGATGCTTTTTAGATGTAAAATTAATCATTAAGGAAACTGATCCCTACACAAAAGTGCATGGTGACTGTTGGTCAAAGTTGGTAAACGTACCTGTCTGGCTGATTACAAGGATTCCTCTATGAACAAGTTTAGGCTGACAGCAGGTACAATTATTAGTAAATAGTAACATAATGACTGTGATGTTGTTTACCCATTCTCAAATGATGAGGGCACAAATGGTGTTTGCTCCCAAGCCATGTGAAAGCATCTCTGACGTTTCCGGTAAGCTGCCTGCTATCTTCTTGATTGCCACTGTCTGTAAAGCACGTGGCTTGGACTTCTCAGGTACACGAGGAAAAAATGTCCAGAAAAGGTTATATTTTAAGGTCATCATTCTGTGATCAGATAAGAGTGAGAAGAATCTTGAGGTGCACTGTGTTGAAGCTGGAGAAATGCTGCTGAGTTGAGATTGCGACATTGATCTGGTCAGGCCTGGTTAAGCAGAAGCAATCAGGAGACATCGTAGCACAAATGTGTATTTTAAATCATGTTTGTGTCTCAGGTAATGTGTATCACTGTTGTACAACAGATTGTACAGCTGGTATATAGAAAAATATTGCTCGTAAGTCTCACTGAAGCAGTTACACAATTTGCTACTCCCACCAATTCTTTTTATTTCCCAAAGTGCTGACTATAATGCAAGATTAAATGCATTTTGATAATCAGTTTTAGAAACTGCTGTTCCTGTTTAGTAGATATAGTAGGAATATAGAATTAATAGGGCAAATATTAGATCCTCCAAATCGTGGAGGGAAGTTTGAATTCATTTCCAATAATTTGATTCTTGATTTGATCACAAGGTATTGCTCTGTGACAGCAGAAATAGGGTGATTTTCCTGAGATTTCAAAGCCATTTAGGTAAAACTTAATCCCTGGCTATTGACTGACCTGTGGCCAGAAAAGGATTTGTAGTCGAGCACCCCTTGTTCTGTTACTCCTTATTATTTTTCCACTGGCAAAGGAAATCTTTTAGCCTACTGCTTCCCTCTATTTGAGATCATTGGGAAACTGATACCACTTCAAGAGAAGGTACAGAGCAGAATCTAAAAGCACTTCTGTATTTACGTAAAGTATGTTAAAATGCACATGTGTATGTGTATTTTATAGTCATGCTGGTATTATCAAATTGTAATTTCTCCTATAACTCATTTTTGTGTTCTTTCAATGATGTTTTAAGTATGAGTTAATGAATTATTTTTAAAGCCAACATGAGAAAAGTTACAACAAAGTTAATTTTTGGGCCATCCTGGAACCATTAAAACTTCTCCTCTGAAAATGCATGGTCCATACAAAGACATTGGATGTGTAGATCCAGAAGAGAGTTATTCAGGGTATAGGTCTTAAGGTGTTTGATGCGTATGTGCATCAAACACTAAAGAGTGTCTTGTGCTTTATCACCTGAGTGAAAATGTTACAACTTTTTTTTCTGATCTTTGTTACTATTAAGAAAAAATATTGTATCAGGTGGAAACGGTGGATGATCCAAACTGCTAGCCTTTGAAAGGGGAGTGAAATCTCCCCTTTTATGTCCAGAGAAATACATGCAACTATTTTGTTGTGCAGTTACCTAGTACGCTGTTCAAGCCCAAGGTTTTGCAACCATAAGTGCTATTTTGTTGACATTTTTCTGAATCTGTGTTTTGCACCCTTTGAGAAACTATGTCTGCATGGTGGATATCTCCCGTTTTCCAAAGTTCACCATGTCTAAGTTTTGAAACAAGCTGTTGGATGGTTCTCCATTATAAGAGTTTTATCCCCAGCTCAGTACAAAGGGTGCAGAGCTGTGTGCATCTTCTTTAGTTGTGTCTCCACATCCCTTGTCTATGAGCAGGTTTTTAGACAAAATGCTTCAGTGCACCTCTTTTGTCTTTTTCCAGGTGATGTATCACCCATCAGCATGTCTCCCATCAGCCAGTCACAGTTTATTCCACTTGGGGAAATCCTTTGCCTGGCCATCTCAGCAATGAACTCTGCCCGAAAACAAGTCACACAAGAAGCACTAACGGAGCACCTAACAACCTGCTTCCCAGGTAACTGGACATGAATAAATCATTGGTCAGATGGACACATGTCAGTAAAAGAGCGGCTAAAGAATCTGTATCTTTTGGGCTTCCTTAAATGAGGGCATTCCAGTGTTTGGTAGTCTGTTTTTCTTCACTCTTCTGGATAGGAATATTGATTAACCTGAGTTGCTACCCAAAAGTAAAAGGAGGCTTCAGGGTTCTAATCTTATAACCTTGTCTTTATTCTTAAATATACAGAGAATGGCGTTCTCTTTGACAGGGCTGTTCATGTGAAATGGATTTTGCAGGGTTAATTCCTGACTATGTAAACACTAAAAATTACTACCTATTTTAAGAATGTACTTTTGAATATACTGCTTCCCTACTGGCAGTCTGTATCTGGAGCTGATGAATCATGCAAAATGCATCTTGTTGAGACATCTAAAAGTGTGGTGTGAAAGCACTGGGTAGAGGTTTACTGCTCAAGAGAGCACGACGTTTTCACATGTGCTTTCTCGGATCTTGGGCAAGATGTTTAGCTGTTCTGTGCTCCAGTTTAAAATTCTCTACACTAGTTAAGAAAAAGATACAATTTCTCAATTGTACCTCTTTTATAGCTGGGAAAAGCGGCTAACTAAAAATGCTTCACTGGGAAAACTACTGATGCATCTGCCTCATCTGGGCAGCCTAACCATAGCCATGTTTTGATGTCTTGAATTTTTTTGCTTGCATTTCAGAGCAGAAGTTACTTACAGTCTGGACAGTTACATGACTTTTGCTATAGCTGGTACTAAGTTCTGAGATTTTAAAATATAGTTCTGGATTGAGAGCTGTGTTTGGAATAAGCAATTCTGTCTGACATTTAATAATTGCACTTCGGAAAAAAATACTGCAAGTGTGTTTTGTAAATACTGGCTTTCTGTCCCAATTTGTGATGTGTTTTTCAGGACTTTTTTTCAGTATGCTTGGCTGATTTTGGAAATAGTGGTAAAAGTTGATAGGGATAGAATGCAAAGAAGGCAAAGTTCACAATTATAATTCCAGGTTAATTAATTTTGATGGTTTTTTCCCAAGTCATGTTTTCTATATGGCTATGTACTAGAAGACTTCCATAGGTTGCAAGTATGTTTTCCAATGTTTCAATCAATATTTTAATATAAACATTATTGCATGCTGGAAATGATAATTTATTGGTGATATCCCTTGCATTTCCTGGGAGCATGATTATCAGTTGACTTGGTGTGTTGTGCTATTCTTGCTAGACAGAACCATACATCAAAAATAATTCAACAGGCTGGAAGACGCCTGAGGCAAGTTAGCACACAGTCTCTTGCTGCCTTTTTTTTTTTCCACTAGCCATGAACATGTGCATTTCTCAAGTCTGAGATAAAAAAAGGAGAGCCTTGTTTTCCCTATCGCACTTCTCAAAACGTAAAGGAAATTATTTGGAAAAAAAATCCGCTGTTTATTGTCCAATTTTTCCTCCTGTCTAGAGAAATGCCTTTGTCTTCCAGCCATGACATGTTTATCATAGCAAACATACGTGTTCTCTCAGTGTATGAGGATTATTCAAAAATTTTGTCCTTTCCAATAAACAGAACCTCTTCTTGTGCCAAGTGGTATTTTTCACTTGTCTGCCCAAAATCTCTCACAAATCAGCTGTGTCTTTTTGAGCCCTTGTATTCACTGTGGCTATTTTAAAATATCTGATGTCCTCCCATCTTCTGAGAGTTTTTTCTTCCTAATTAGATGCTGATGCTGTGAGAGAGAGAAGAGCCTTACCAGTGTAGATGTATGTGTCATTGTCACATAACCTCTCTGAATCTCACCCTGTAGCAGCAGTTGTCTGCCTGTGTTGTTTGTGTTTTAATGAACAGATGCTTCACTGCGTTTCGTGGTGTGTATAGATTTCCTAAGACCCCAGATGCTGTTTTCAAACTGCCTAAGAATAATAAAGCTCTTTCCTGAGTGCAGGATCTTACACTTGCAGCCTAGCCCTCTAGTTTGCTGAGCCATTGTGCAGGCATAAATCTGGGCCATGGCTCTACCTGAAATAAGGTATGCTAATTATTTATAACATCACATAGCAACCACTCCACAGCCTTAACTAGTATTTCATGAGCCAATCAGAGTATTTCTTTCATCCCTTGTTAAGCCTTAGCATCAGCTCAGGAGAAAATAATTTTAGCAGATCTAACACCATTTAAATACTACTTCAGATGTATTTTTCATTAATTGATTTTATTGAAAAAGTTTGTAATGATAATGCACATCTTATTTGTCACTTCTGTTATTCGTCACGTTTTTAAAAAAGCAAGAGGGCTCCTGCTGCACATGTTCCCATTATTCTTACGTAGATTGAAACAATGAGATGTTTGTACAGCCCTGCTTTATAATTCATTGACCGTGTTTAAATCCCATACATTAAATGTAAATTTTTGAAATCCAGTATAAGGAGCTAAGAATGTAACCGCTGTTTCTGTATGTGGCAGCCAGATCCTCTTGTCTGTATGAACCTGGCTGAAGAAAACATCAAGCCTTAGTCTGCTGCCTTTAGTAGGGATTTTTTTTTTAAATTTTGTCCATGTACTTACTGAAATGATTAAAATAATTTTAAGGTGATTGAATTTTCAGTGTAGAAGATACGTGTGTACTAGACGAGGTTGCTTTTGAAGCAAACCATTTTCTGAAAGCTGGCCAATTCCTCTGATGTTCACCTTCCTAACTGTTCACTCTTTAACTATGTGAAATGTATATGTAGCACTTAAAATAAGTGTCTTACATTAACTGAGTTCACTCTAGGTCAGTGTTCTTTGTGAGCAGCAAACAAGACATAATTTTCCGTCTGGAAGCTCAGTGGATGGCGTAATAGATTCTCTTGAGATGCAGAAAATGTACATGTCTGATGATTCGGTGTCCAGACAGTTTCTGCTTTTGAATTATTAAACCACTACATAATCTTAAATAACACCACTGCTGTCATGCAGTATTTTATATGCTAGAGTCTCTAAACTGCTGGGTTTTTTACCTCTTGTTCCTGTTTAATGGAAGAAAGGGGACCATAAGGAGACTTGTAACATGTAGGTTACATACAGACATGATGTGGGCAGGTTGCTGTGAAGAGAAAAGTCTTGAGAAAGCCAGGAAATCTGTATTTAAAATAGCAACAATGAGAGCCAGAGTAGTGTCAATGCTCCTGCCCACTATGCAGGAAAGCCTGCTTCAAGATTAGGTCTGTTTCTGCTTTTGTAAGTACCTGAAAGAGATGTGAACAAAACGCGTAGCTAGTGTTAGTTAGCAACACTGAGCTCCAAAGATTGGCTTCTGCCATCATCACTGCTGGCTTAGTGAACCACAGGGATGTCCTGTATGCTGGGATTGATAAAAGCGGCAGTCTCCAGCTCCAGAGAGAAGGCTGACACGATTAACTTTACAGCATCATTGACTGCCCAGGCACACTAATTTTTTTTTTCCTGTTGTTTATCTGCACATTCTCTATTCACAGGATTTAATTAATGTAACTATTGTGCATCCATTGTTTAGAGACTCATTTAACCAACACATCATAGTCACTATGGTTTACTGGGTGAAAAATACGTATTATTATTTTTACCATGTATTTGCAGTGCATTTTTGCCTAAGTTAGTGTAAAACATCAGTAGATCCATTTCAATCTCATTCTGTAAATTTCAAGGAGAATATTTTCCTCTCTTTTATTTTCATCCCAGTGTTTTTGAAACTATGTTTAAAAAAGTCTTAAAGTAAGATAAGGATGAAGAACCAAGTTCTCACAGACAAAGGTAGGTATGCATTGAGGTACTTACATGTAAGCTCCTGGAAAATGCAATGGATCTGTCAGATTGTTTATGTAAAGGCAGGAGGAGAGATTGGCTGCTGCACAGCAAGTGCAACCCAGTTGAACTGGGTTTGGACCCTGCAGTGCATTTTCAGCACAGGGTGGAGAAGCACATGAGCTCACGTTTGGCCTCATCCACTTCTTGTGGTGATGCAAGGCAGTGTCCAGTTCTGGGCCCCTCAGTTCAAGAAGGACAGGGAACTGCTGGAGAGAGTCCAGCGTAGGGCTACAAAGATAATTAAGGGAGTGGAGCATCTCCCTTATGAGGAGCGGCTGAGGGAGCTGGGTCTCTTTAGTTTGCAGAAGAGGAGACTGAGGGGAGACTTCATTCATGTTTATAAATATTTAAAGGGTGAGTGTCACATGGATGGAGCCAGGCTCTCCTCGGTGACAAACAATGATAAGACAAGGGGTAACAGACACAAACTGGAACACAGGAGGTTCCACTTAAATTTGAGAAGAAACTTCTTCTCAGTGAGGGGGACAGAGCACTGGAACAGGCTGCCCAGAGAGGTTGTGGAGGCTCCTTCTCTGGAGACATTCAAAACCCGCCTGGACGCCTTCCTGTGTGACCTCATCTAGGTGTTCCTGCTCCGGCAGGGGGTTTGGACTGGATGATCTTTTGAGGTCCCTTCCAATCCCTAACGTTCTGTGATTCTGTGATAATGTAGAAGGAGTGGTGTTACCCAAGCAGACACAGCAGCTCCACCGCAGGAAAGAAGAGGTTAGATGGTGAGTGCTGGTTGTGGTAGGAATTTAAATGACTCTTGGTGTTCCTGTGCTTTGCTGGAAGCTCATGCGGAGGGCAGCCTGCTCTCCTATTGCCACTGCCTCACAAACCAGAGAAAGCTCAGCATATTGTTTTCTTCAGTCCAGAGAGATTCAAGACACTGGGCCAGGGGAGAGGTAGTCCTTTTTAACTCCAGCTCTCTGGACTTCAGCTTTCCGCATCAGTTGCTACTTCTGGCATGTTTGCTCATCCAGCAATTCTAGGGGTCTTTGTTACTCTCTCTAGGATTGTCATATAAACTGTGGACACCCACATGAAAAGAAAAGAAAATGCAGGTTTCCAGTTCTCCATTTCATTTGCTTATTCTTTCTGACTTTCAGTCTCATTTATTCTCTCAAATTATGTCCTTTCTTTACCTCTGTTACTTCCTGTGTCTGGATCAGCCCCAGTCTTTCAGCTCTGTGGACTGTGCATGAAATATATTTACTGCCCCCATGTACTTCTCCATGGCACCTTCTTTGTTGTAACTGCTTTCCCTCATGTGTCCATGTTATTCCTAACACTTTGCTGTTTCCATTGTAAGATTTTTAGTTACAGATATTACTGGATGTGAGCAGTGTGGTCATGTCTCTAAACTCAAACAACATTCAAAGCCAGACATAAGAATACTTACTATGTTGCCTGCAATCCAGTAGCAAGGAAGAGGGTGAGTTAAGGAATTAGTACAACTTCTTTGTCGCTAATCTTTTGGCGGAGTGTTGGTCATAGTACCAGAGCCTGGCAGGTGAGCTTGCAAGCTCCAGCCTTTGACATGTGCAGCAGGAGTTGGTGACCAGACGCTATGTGCTGCTGAAGATACTTTGTGACAGGTACACCTGGTTGAGATTTTTCTGTGAAGTATTTTTGTAAAAACCATAAGCTTTTTTGAAATGTTTTTGGATGCATGACTCCATAGAATTTCTGTTCTTGAAGACAGTCAGAGTTTGACTTGACAAGGCCCTGACCAACCTGATCTAAGTTGGCCAGATGATTTCATGAGGTCCCTTCCAACCTAGGTTACTCTCTGATACTTTTTTTTTCTAAATTATTTTTGTTGTAAAGAAAACTAAAACCCAGAGTAAATAATGCTAACTTTTTTAGTTTAAAGTAGACCATCCAGACCTTTGAAAAAAAATTCTCTAGTTCTAAAAGTGTAAACCAGGTCAGTACCCAGCATTAAGTTACAATTAAAATGCATTTTAGTTCAAAAAAATGAATTGATTGAAGATAGCTTTTTCCACTGAAAATGTTGAAGGATTTTTATTTTTTATTCAGTATAAACAGATTTTTTAAAAATAACTTATGAAATAAATCTCTTGTTTCCTTAGCTCTAGGTGGAACTTACTCCTATGCACTTGGTATTCCTGTGCACTATGCTAACTTGGTATTTTATCTAATGAGATATCAAAGACTTGGTCCTGCACCACTGAACCCAGCAGGAGTGCTGGTGATGGGAAGGACCAGGCTTACAGTGCCAAGTCTGCCATGTTGCTAATGTGGCATTGATGCAGGTTGTCATGCTTGTCCATCTCTCAGTGTGATATATGGACTTAGGTAGTGTCCATCACATCTCACACGAAAGGCAGGGGAACTCAGAAGCAATTTTTTAGGAGCTAAATCTGTAACTTCCAGCATGGTGGAGAAGTCTGGGTTAGATTAACTGTATTATTCAAGGCATTTCTTTTTTTGGAGCAACCGATGTAGTCAAGACATGTTTTAATGGGAGAGCAAGTCAGTTCAATCTAGTTTGTGATAAAGAGGCAGTCTGGGGGAATGCTTTTTTTTTTCCTGTGTAGTAGTCTTCTGTGGAAAAGCAACTTAGGCATGCAAAGTAACAAATAACCACTGTTTTATGTGTGACTGGGCATTATAATAAATAGTACTGGTGAACTGGCATATAAATATTTAGTTGGAAGAAGAATAAAATGAAATGTTTCCCCTGACACCTTTTGATTTCCAGTGATTCCATCTTGTAGCTTAAGGTCACCTGTGCAATGGAAGTGACTAGAAGTTCTCTCCTTTTTTTTCTTTAACACTCCATTAATGGCCTCCTTTCTATTTAATTAATAATTGATATGTCTGAAGTGTAGGAGATAAGTGGAAAAACAAACAGGTGAGAATGCCTAACAAAGTGCTTTGCTGGAGTTGTTTGTTCAGCATATTCCAGCTCACATATTGGAAAAAACAGCTTTTTGTTGGGGAAGGGGGAGCCTGAGAGTCCTGCATGGTTTTATGCACTCCCTGATCTGTGTTTACTGTCATTTTTAGGAGTTCCAACACCCAGTCCAGAAATCCTTCGACATACCTTGAACATGCTTGTACGAGAGAGGAAAATATACCCAACTCCGGACGGTTATTTCATTGTAACCCCACAGACATACTTTATAACACCATCTCTCATAAGAACTAACAGTAAATGGTACCATTTGGATGAGAGGATACCTGACAGGTCTCAATGTACCTCTCCACAACAAGGAACTATAACTCCTTCTGCCTCGGGATGTGTCAGGGACCGAACACTACCCAAAAACCACTGCGACTCCTGCCATTGTTGCAGAGAAGACATGCACAGCATGCATGCATCTACCCTACAGAGGAAATCAGCAAAAGACTGTAAAGACTCATACTGTCCTCCTTCATTATGTCAGGTCCCACCTACTGAGAAAAGTAAAAGTACTGTCAATTTTTCTTACAAAGCAGAGACGCTCACAAAGCCTAAGGATGTAGAAAAGCAGTCTAAGAAATTTGGACTCAAATTATTCCGATTAAGTTTTAAGAAGGACAAGACAAAACAGTTGGCAAATTTCTCTGCCCAGTTTCCTCCAGAGGAGTGGCCACTAAGGGACGAGGACACCCCTACCACTATACCTAGAGAGGTAGAAATGGAGATTATCAGGCGCATTAACCCAGACCTGACTGTGGAAAATGTCATGAGGCACACCGCACTAATGAAGAAACTTGAAGAGGAAAAAGCTCAACGAAGCAAAGCAGGATCTTCAGCTCACCACAGTGGACGAAGTAAAAAGAGCAGGAATCACAGAAAATCTCATGGGAAATCGAGGTCACACAGCAAGACTCGGGTGTCCAAAGGAGACCCATCAGATGGCTCTCATTTGGATATACCTGCTGAAAGGGAGTATGAGTTTTATGATCCCTTGACTCGATCCCCACGGGAAGGCTGTTTTATAATAGAACACAAGGGAGATAATTTTATAATGCACAGCAATCCTAACATGATTGAATCTCACTTTCCCATGACACCAGAGTGGGATGTGTCTGGTGAGCTGGCCAAAAGAAGAACTGAAATGCCTTTCCCTGAACCTTCCAGGGGAAGCTCCCACTCCAAGGTCCATCGGAGCCACAGCCATACACAGGATAGAAGATCGAGGAATGAGCGGTCCAGTAAGGCAAAAGAAAGGTCTAGATCCATGGATAACTCCAAGGGACCTCTGGGCTCAGCTACTTTAGGCACACCTGAAGATCTAGGTGAAGGCTGTAGCCCAGATGACCAAACAACTAGCCAAACTTACATTGATGATAGTACCTTAAGGCCATCTCAGTCACTCAGTCATCAAAGGGCTCAGATTTCATCTGCAAGCTACAAGGAGACTTGCATCCCTGAAATAGCTGGCGGCACTGTAGAAACCCTGAGTTCTTGTAGCCTATTGGAACAAAGCAAGCCTACAGAGAATTTGCCGTCATATAGTGAGCTCAACTCCTGCACAACAAAATCTGCAGTCGATGACTATTTTCAGTGCAACACATCCAGTGAGACTGTGCTTACTGCTCCATCACCACTGGGAAAGAATAAAGAGGATCATGACACACTGATAGGGACAGATGGGCTCAAAAAAATGACTGCTGCAGAAAGACAGTCTCAACACATTGCTAGGGAGCCCGGTGTGCACAAAGAGGAGTCCCCAAAGGGCCCAGGCAGCGGTTCGGTTATCACTGGCCAAACTCCAGAGGTGATCGCAAACGGGCGGCTGGTTCAACACCATAGCGCTGAATCGAGCAGCCTTGATAAAAGGAAAGAAATATTTAGCAAGGATACACTCTTTAAACCTCTGCACAACACTCTTTCTGTGAATAGTTTTCATAAGTCTAGCACACCCCTGCTAAAGCCCCATCAAAAGACCCCCTCTGACACTTTGCCGGTCAGATGTGAAAAACTTGAACAAGTGATAGTAACTTCAGTCACACAAGTTATGCCCGTTTCACAGAGACAGCAAGAGACAACGGGGAACCAGGAGGCCTCCTTCGACTACTACAACGTATCTGATGACGACGACTCAGAGGAAGGAACCAACAAAAATGCTGAGGAAGAAAAGAACAGGGATGATGTTGGTACGATGCAGTGGCTCCTAGAGAGAGAAAAGGAGAGGGATCTGCAGCGAAAGTTTGAGAAGAATCTTACTCTGCTCACCCCAAAGGAAACAGAAAATAGCAACAACCAGAGAGCCACCCACTCAGCCCGCCTGGACAGCATGGACAGCAGCAGCATTACTGTGGACAGCGGGTTCAACTCTCCACGGTAGGACTGTCACATTCATTGCAGCTTTACAGACTAGAAAGTTCTGTTTATAGTTATATGTATGTGTGATATTGGTGACAGAACGTAGGGTCATATTAAACAATTTCACACATTTTCAGACAGTGTTTTCTTCAGCTCTGGAATCTGCTATTCAGATGTGTGGGTTTCGCATCATACCGTAAGCAACCAATAATCATTTGCGGCACTGACTCTGTATTAGTTTGGTTTATGTTTGCTGAAAACTTCCCTGTATCTTTTTTTTTTCTGTATTAAACTTGTGTTTGCATTTAGAATAGAAGGGATGAGCTCCTGCATACGCCCCACCTTCTGTTTCCCTCTAAGTTACCATCAGTAAGACTAATGGGAAGACTAGACATGACTAGGTGGCATAATCTTTGGCTCAGACAGAAAAAAAACACAAAAAAACCTAAAAGCAACATGATGATTGTTTTGGGTTTGGGCTTTTTTGTTTGTTTTCATCAAAAATTTTGGAAGAGTATTTATCACCATTCTAAACTGGTGAGACTGGAACAGCCGCTCCCCTCACAAGGCTGAAAGTGCTGAGGATTTTTGAACTCCAGAGGTGACCCAGCGCTGCATCAGCAGGGAGAGAGGTGCCTTGCCTAAAATCCTTGGGAAAAGAGTCCAGACGTTTTCCTGTGGTGGTGCTGGGTAGTCATTGCCACTCCAGGGATCTCAGACATCATGGAAATCTCAGTGTGCTAGGAGTCTTACCAACGTAGGGAGGAGAGAGTTGCCAGTGTGTTCCCTGCCCTGAAGATTTCACAAGCTCATTTCCAGGTTAAGAATCCTTCACTCGAGCCTTCTTCCTTCTCTCTCTGACCTTTGACAGTCCTAGGTCCCTGCTGGGATGGAGCTTGTCTGGTTGTGTTTGCCCTGGATAGCAACCCATCAGAGTTCAGAACAGTGACTCTAAGAACACAGAAATAATTTACAGTAGTAGCTCTCTTAGAGTGTCTTACTTCAGCTTCAATTATTTATTGCCTATGTTTAAAAATAAAACCTCCAAGACTGGATTTGTATTAGGTGAAAGAAAATGGGGTTTTGTTTTTGATTTTTTGTTGGTTTTGGTTTTTTCCCCCTGTAAAAGGTGTTCTTATTCCTCAGAATTATATAT